CCAAAACGAAAAATCGTGTTTGACTTCTGCCATGCAATCTTCTTTGCAAAAACGTCCGGAAGAGTGGCCATCAGCTGCTCTAGCCTCTTTTTGCCAATCACTGACTTACTTGCTCCTGTGTCCAAGATAGCTGTGCTACCATGATCTACAAAAAACATCGGCTCAAAGCGGGTCTCATGCCTGACACGTTTTCCCATGGACTCTGAAAAACCCTTCTTCAGTGATCGTTTCATGGCATCCAAGGACAGAGCAGCAAAAACGAATTCTTCATTAACATGGGCGTCCCTTTTTGGATCCCAACAAAAATTTGGGGGGCATTGTTCTTTCCCGGCCTGATCGTCGTGAGATTCATGGGCGGTCATCATCACCAGGTCAGGTTCCATCAGCATTTCCGTCTCTGTGTCGTGAATCGAAATCCCCTGCTGGTTCATGGGCCACCACTCTGGTAGGGCATGTTCAAGGGAAATGGGTAGCTTTTCCACCACCTCAGATTCCTGGTCGCCATAGGTCTCTCCAACGAGGGTGGACACGTGGATCTCCGCAGGAGAGGCATTGGAGTTTCCTGCATTCCCTTTGTTAGGACACTCTTGCCGCCAATGGCCTTTGGCCCCACATAGACGGCAGTTCGAGTTAGCGATCCTACTGCCTCTTTGCGAGGGCCGCCCTTCCAAGAACTTTTCTTGCCACCCTTGTGTTTTCCTTTTCCTTTGACAGGTGGCCAAAAGCCTCTGGCGCGAATCTTGTCCCGAACTCTGCCACGGGCCTCCGTGTAGGCGGAGAAGCACATACTCAAATCAACATTGTCTTGACAAGCTTCAATCAGCTGGTCTTCAAACTCTGAAACCAGAAGGGCGTCTTCGTCGCCCTGCTCCATCAACAACAGGATGCCCGCCTCATCGTCCTGGATGATGCCCTTCATCTTCATCTTCAACATAGTTCACGGCATACACTTTCTTCTTGGCCTCAACGCCAGTGTTCCCCACGAGGATCTTTGGTGCCAATTGCCTCATAGCATCTTCCACCTTTTTGGCCTGCAGTGTCCCACCTGTCATGGCCAGGACCCGTTTCCTGTCCTCTGCATTGAGGAAGCTCTGGCGCAACATGATGAAAGCTTTGATCTCCTGGATGGTGACATCTGGGATCTCGGCAAAGGCGACATTCATGCGGTTGACATAGGAGAACACGCTTTCATCTTGCTTCTGTTGAACCTTGTATAGTGCCCGTTCAAACTTCTCGTATGTCTGAAGTTCTGCCGAGTCCTCCCAAGCAGCAACCGTACTTAGGAGTAACTTCACACCTCCCTCTGGGTCCGAGAGCTTGGCACCATCTATTGACTTGATCTGAGCCCAAGCCGTTCCCTTCATCAGCAAAGCCAACCTCGGTGCCAGCATCGCCTTGTCTTTGACCGGACAGATGGAAAAAAGGAACTTCACCTTGTCGGAGTACTCACGAGGATCATCGACCGAGGGGTCGAAGCTGGGTAGTAAACTCCAAATGTGTCCGGACTTTTCATCTTGGCTGCTTTCACCATCAGGCATGGCTCACTGTCGCGGTCGTGGGTAAAATGTCGTGCAACCCTAATTGTTCAATTGCAACCGTCCTAGGTTAATTAGGAACCGAAGTAAACACCAACCCCAAAAGAAAACCCTGTTTTTTCAACAGATATGCCTCCTGCGGAGGCTCCGCTACCAATGTTAATCTAGCACTGTAGACTGTCCGTGGAAACCCTGTCCACCGAAACCGAAAGGTGACCACACCTCTTTCACGCTGATCACTAAGTCCACCCTCCCGCCCTTTCAGCGGTCCGAACCACGGCACGTGAGCGAGACAACTCGAGGTTGGTTCCGGAAACTTGTGAGTTTCACAATATATATATACTGTATATATGAAGGCCTATAAATGCTTGCATTGTGCAGGGTACCATGGGGGCTGGTGGTGAAAAGAATTGAATCGGGAATGCAGCATTCTTCCTGTGTCGCCTGTCCACCATGTCGTGACTGGCCTGACAGAAGTGAATGACTGGAATCACATGTATGTACTGAAAGTACCCTTTCATGTGTTTCACTTGATTGAGGCTCGATAGGCATTTTTTGGTGGTCCTACCTGGTCTCACGGCAATATTGTTTATGTTCCTTTAGCATCATCGTGACTTTATCATTTACATTTGGCTGCTCCTTCATCAAGGCGGTGGATAGTGGCATTCTGGATTTATATGGCAGTGAATGTGGCGAAGGGACATACTTCGTATTTGTTGCTGGTGCCTCAGAGTGATTGAACATGATTGCTTCCCTAACGGTCCTGAAAGGAAGCGGTTTGCACTTTCTATGGTGATCGCAAGCACCCAAACCCAGAATCCATTTTTGACGGATTCCCAAATATATAGCGGCATACTGTATTTTTGTTGTTTCCGGTCAGGATAAATTATGTGGTTATATAGTTGACTCGTGATAAGAATTGCTTGCTTCGGTAGAGTGCATTGCTCTTCCGGCTGAAGGGTTTCACTACAACCAGTAGAGTCACACGTGGAGCATGGATTTTAGAAGGTTTTTTTGGTAGCCACAATAATAGTTACCTTTGGAGTTCATTTCATGTTGCTCTCATTTGCTTTCATTCTGCTTTCATTTGCTTTGACTTCCCCACCAGCCAGGTGAGGTTGTTAGATTTTATCAGACCTCTTCTTCTCTCCTCGCCTCGTTTTCTTGACTACCACACCTCAACTGCCAGCTCCAGATCGCCGCAATGGGCTCTACCTCAACTGCACGTGCATGATCGCAATCCTCAACAGCAGATCGCAGTGGGCACTCCCGGACCTCACCAGCAAGTGCCAGATCGCAGTGGGCGCTGCCGGACCTCAACAGCAGCTCGCAGTGGGCACTCCCGGACCTCACAACAGCGAGCACCAGATCGCAGTGGGCACTCCCGGACATCAACAGCGCAGCGGGCACTCCCGGACCTCACAATGGGCACTCCCAACCAGACCTCACAACAGCAAGCGCCAGATCGCAGTGGTCACTGCCAGACCTCAACTGCAAACACCAGATCGCAGTGGGCACACTCCCGGACCTCAACAGCATCACAGTGGGCGCTCCCGGACCTCACAACACCAAGCGCCAGATTGCAGTGGGCGCTGCCGGACCTCAACTGCAAGCACCAGGTCGCAGTGGGCACTCCCGAACCTCAACAGCAGATCACAGTGGGCACTCCCGGACCTCACAACAGCAAGTGCCAGATCGCAGTGGGCACTACTGAACCTCAACTGCAAGCGCCAGATCGCAGTGGGCGCTCCCGGACCTCACAACAGCAAGTGCTCAACGGCCACCTCCAGACCCCAGTGGGCACCGCCGGACCTCACAAGATAGAATTTCAGAATGTGCCAGATAGAGTGGCAGAATGTACGCCAGATAGAATGCCATACTACTTGCCAAGTAGTGTGCAAGATAGAATGCCGCAATGATGCCAAATATAAACAACAATAGAATCAAATAGAATGCCAGGTCCATATGTCACAGCACATGTCAGACAGGAAACATGTCAGAACACACGCCAACAAAGATGTCCGAACACAGTCCAGAACGTTTCCCAGCCTTTATGATAGATGATGTGATGTGTCAGAGCACAAACCAGGTTTGATGCCAGAACAAGCGTCAGAACATCGTGTCAATCCGCACAAATCGCCTTTCAGGGTGGGGATCACTCAAGTAAGGTGTAATTTGTTTTCAATTGTTCTATGCTTTAGATCTTTTCTGACCTGCGTTAAGTTTGTTTTGCTGGACTTTTTGGAACTGAGTTTTATACAGATGGATCTTGGCTATTATATAATATGCCTCCAAAGCCCCGATTTTGCGGCGCAATATAAAACAATATTGATCTGGATTTTTTTTCGGAAATGTTGATTTGTATAATTAAGAACGACCTGCTAAGTACGAGAACCATGAATCAACAGTTTCTCTGTTTCCATGCCTGTCAGAAGTTGTTCCTATTGAAAAATGTGGAGGACGTGCAACCAAGTAGCTAGCATCCAAAGATCCTAGAGGAGGAGGACTGGCCTGGGGACATGCGAAACCAACAAACCTGTGTCAAAACCACTAAAACGTTCTTCTTCACTAGCCACTCCCTCATTGTTCAGATCTTGGTTGATGCATTACATTGTTTCGTTTTGCTCACAGGTTTACAGAAACCGATACAGTATATTGCGTTCACTTGGTGTCACATGGCACTGTCAGTTAGGGTTGCATTTGTTTGGAATATCTGACTTTTGTGGGATTCTATGGGTTTGAGGTGCCGTTGGCATTGTTTGCGAGGTTGTTTTTTTGGGCTGCACGCGCGTTCTCGGGCCGCTCAAGCGACAGGACTCGTCCTGATCTCCGTCCCATCTTCCTGTAAGGCAACAAAGTGGCCTTCCAGTAGCATAGATGCCTAACCTGTGCTGTGCTTTTGGCTATCGTGGAGAAGACTTATTGAACATTCCAGATTGAGCTGTTGTTGTGATGGTGATCTGGCACACATCATGTCAGAATACTTGGCCTGTACATAGCTAATGGCCCTGCTCTCCTCAGCATGGACCAGTCGGCCCATTGCGTTTTAGAGACTGTGGGTCATGTTTGATCAGAAAGGCTACTGGATGATCAATTACCGTGCATTGCCGATCGACTTTGGTGTTTTCTACCTGTGTAGTGTCAAAGGAATTGTTTCAAGTCCGTGGAATAGCAGACACAGGATAGCGGATAGCAATGGGATGCCGACTCTGACTCTATCATGCTACCAGTGCCGCCTTACTCAGTTACTCTATGGCTCGAATCAAACACAACAGCGACATGTACAAGAGACGTCATCATGAGAAAGGTCTCCGATCTACTAGACTAGGCTCGCTTGGCTAGTTCCCGGTTGTTGTCATTGCCAACATGTTCTTGAACGTTGGGACTGTCCAACGCATGTGGTCAGTGGTATGGGCATGATTTAAAGATATGCGTCAACCTTTTGCTTGTACAGGTACATGGTACCTTTTTGCCTGCGACTCACTAGTGCGTCACGCCGTTTGCAGTGCAGCCTTGGCACAAGAAACAATACTGTATTTGTAGCTTCGCATGTAGGTATCCACTTTGTGCAAGACCTTGCTCTTTCCGAAGGGCCCAAAGTGGCGCTAGGTCAGAGGCAGGGTGTATACAGGGGCAGAAAATGGCTACAAACAGTTGCTTGCAAATATTGGGTCATTTGTGCAGGTTCAAAGAAGTACTGAGGAGACGATTTAGTACCTCTCAGCCTCTCAGATGTTTGCTCATTCTATAATATCATTCTTGGTAGGTATCCAAAGCATTCCATGAGGTGGAATGTTTTTGCTTGAGTTCTGCCCAGGTGAATGTCTGCAGGTGCGGCCAGCATTGGTCGAAAAGACTGTGGGAAAGGTCACAAGGGGGGTTGTCAGTGAATTAGGTAGAACGACCATAAGATTTTACTGTACCATTGGACCATTGCCCTTTCCTAATGGGCTATTGAATCATTGGTGGCTGATTTGTTAATTAATGTAGTCTTTTTGAGACAATGGAAAGAAGATGAAGAGGGAACTCCTTGAAAGCTGCGCAGGCTGTTTTCCTGATACTGGTGGGTTTGCCATAGGCTTGCGTAGGCTGTAGGCGGAGGCACATACATAAGGTTTTTTGGCATAGGGTTGTTGCGTAGGTTGTTTTTGGAATGGATGTTCTTGAGAAGATTCTGTCCAAGCATGTTGCGTAGCTAGTAGGTGGGCACCAGAGTAGAACATGAATGAAGCACCAGGCCAGTCTCTAGGCTCATGGACCGCACACTGCAGGTGCTGATCTCTAATCTAGCCATTCTGGTGGATTAGTTACAACCCAAGCTACTGACCAGCTGTTTCGTGAATTTGCTGTGGGTCAAAACCTGGAGCCCCAACACCGTGTAGCTTGACCTTCCAGGTAGGTCAACCGGTCAACCAAGGTAGGCTTTGACCCACAGCCACTTGCAAGAGGCTCTTTTTGGTTCCTGGCCCCACGGAGTCTCAACGTAGGCCTGTGCATAGGAACAAGTTTTCATGTTCCACCAGTAGCCCACTACGCATGCAGGTCGTACCAAGAAAAGACTAAGTTGAACTGCTTGATTGGGTATAGAGTGTAGAGTTGGGCTGGACAATGTTGGTTGTGGTGGAGTTTGCAGCGGCTTGAAGTGGAAAGTGGATGCTTTTGGTAAGCTGCTCCAACGCTTAAGCCCAACCCGCAAGTGCCTTGGTGGTGTGGTTGTCCTCCCAGCTAACAGTGGGCTAGCCTGGCCTGATGTCTTCCATGGCAAAAGAGCTTTGTTGTTTATGTTACGTTTGGTGTTTTGTGGTGTGGGGGGAGCTAGGATTTTGCTTTCAAGCTCGAGCTCATCAGCTCATCATCATTTTTTCATGGACGACTTCAGCGTAAGATTCAGAGGTAAAAACAAGAAACACGTATAATAACAATATGTATTATTACAATATTGGCAATTTTTATTTGCTCGCGTAGGCATCCCCGAATAGGCCTCACTTGAGAAAAAGTGTGCCAGCCTTTGTATTTTCAACCCAGTCAACCTGCAATGAGCCTTCTGCTGGGAAGGCCTCTCCAAATCAATCTCTCCAAAAGAAAACGTCTTTGCGTTCGCTCTTCTTGACTGCCAGGTGGAGACGCGTGCGCCAGGGAGTGTTTTGTTGCACTGCTACCAATATTGCCCCTCAATCTACTGTAGTTCCCTGGGTTCTGCAATCAATTGCCAGTTGCTACAAACTCACTGATATGCAGACTAGTCGTGATAAATAATTTCATTATTTGGTCAGGGATGGGTTGTGTGGCATCGACCGGATGTCACTAGAAGAAGTGCATTGACATGTCGCAAGGCAGTTCGTGTCGACGCACGCACTCTGGAAACGGCTGGCTCGTAGAACTGGTGTTGAGCGAGGCTCGTGGAGAGTGCAGCGCATGTAGGCCTGCTTCATACAGATACATGAACCATCATTCACCCTGTACAATGACAAGCACCACAAGCGAATTTGGGAAACATGTCATGCGGCCATGTGTGTTTCTTTTAGTTTTGCAAGCGCAGGGTTATCTATAAGATCCTGCAAGACGGTGCATGAACAGGTTTTGTGCCGAGCACAATTCAGGTACTACAATGGTTCTGCTGAAGTTGGTTCCAAGATTTTGTCCGACCGCCAGCTTGGGAACCCAGAGGCTACAGTTCTGCACAAGACCAGCAGCCAGAAAACCTTTAATATAGGGGTTGGAATTTCCTCTACAAAATCGCGGGGGTTGGGACCCCTAGAAAGCGATTGCTTTAGCAATATTTTTTTGGTTAATATGGAGGCTTGTAAGTGCCAACCTGGAAGTTTCTCGATTTGATAGAGAATTGTTGTTTTGTACAAGCTCCATTCTATAGAGGTGTTGAAGTGATGGTGTAATGGATCTTGGTGCCTGAGGCATATTGATTCTATAGAGAATTATTAGCATGGGTTTGCATGTCAGGGATTGCAATTCTATAGAGAAGTGGATGACTTGGGGACGACCTTTGGACTCTATAAAATCACAGACCTACCTGTCCATGACACCCTCTTATTTCTCTATAGATTTGTGGTCCTACCAACTGGGGAATCAATGCCTTCTTGGACAATTGCATTTTAATGTTTTCTTCAGAACCTTGTACCTTGATTCTATAGAGACCCATGTTTTCACTCCTATTGAAAAACACCTGTTCGGGAGTACCTCAGGACCTGCATTTTTTATAGAGCAAGATCCTCAGTATCCACAGTATTCCACAGCTTTTGAAAGACTCATGGCCCTCAATTCTATAGAGCTGACTCCTTGTATTTGGACATTTTTCCCATATCTTTCTCAATTTTATCGGGTCAAAAAGTGATCATTTTTTGAGGGGGGTTGGTCCCAGCATTTTAGCACTATAAAATCGCTACACCCGGGTACCCACTTAATACCAACCCCTATGATTTAAACAATATATATATATAGTTATACAGTTTTGTCCACACCTTAAGATGTCTTATATAAATCTCAAGCCGCAGCGCATGAAAGCCCGCGAGAAGGGGGTGCAGTGAAGTCCCTTGACTTGGAAGTGGTGCGTTGTAGCCAGTTGTAGTTTGATTAATTAAGTGGTATTGACACAAAATTGGCTGTGTTGTTGCCAGGCACCAAGCAGTCGCAGAACCAGCACCAGCACCACCACCACCACCTCCGCCACCTCCACCCTTTTGCTTTGATGTCCTTTAGCTCCTTCAATCCCAAATTTATGAGTCAGCCCCGCTAGCCCATGTTGATCCCCTGTGGAGGAAGTTACTTGCAATAACTCATGTAATTTGTTTTACTGTAACTAGCACCATAGCGTTGACACGATTCCGTGGGGTTGGCCACAAGCACTTGAAAACTGCAGATGTTTGTTCTCTTAATGGTAAAACATACTGTTATTCACCACTGAGGTCTTTAGATCCTACTTCAGTCCTGAGACACTCAGTTGATTACTTTTTATGTATTCAGGATTCGATGGAGAACTGGATATAAATAAGGACTCCCTGCCCCCTGTTTTGTTTGCCATCGCTGCTTTTCTAATGTTTCGTTTCTACTTGTTCTTGTCGAATTCCTTGCGTTGGGATATCTGGGACCAGGACCCCCTTGAAATGTTTTGGTAAAGCCAACTCCAGCCCCATCCCTTTGTTGCTTGATAATAGGATGCTGCGTGCTATTTGCCAGAACCGCCACATCCACTTCATCTTCGCTGAACCGAACTTCCGAGTGCAACACACGTTTTGACCGGCCAGCCCACGTGCAGTTTGGTCCTGGCACGACATCGTTTGCCCAGCCCCGCACTTGAGGCTTTTGCGAGAGCAGCTCACGCCAAATGCACGCGGTCTTGCGCAGCCGCCCAGTGCGGCGGTCTTTTCTGGTCGTTGATCCCTTGGTAAGCCCACCGTAGAATTACTGAAGCAACTTACTTTTGATTATTTACCTTAAATACTGTACTTTAGTACTGCTCTTGATTATTTTGATACTATGGCCAGATCATCACTTCTTTCAGAACAGGCAACAGAGTATAGGAATTTGCAAGATCAACATTATGCATATGAACATAGACAGTGCTTATATATAAGCTAAATCGGGGTCACCGGTCTTTTGACTTTCCTGCCTTGAGAGTTTGAGACGCCGGCAAAAGAGAAGCTGAAGCATGCTAGTATGAAAATACATGCTCGAATATTCCGTGGGTGCAAAGGTGCTCAAAGAGTGAATCGGTTCGCCATTTTAGTGTAGTGCAAGTTGCATGCTTCATGTTCCTTTCTTGCTTCGCGCTCATGTCGCAGATTGTGGCAATGGTTGGACTTCCAGCCAGAGGGAAATCCTTCATTTCCAGAAAGGTGCCGATCACCTGACCACAGGTTTCATTGTTCATGAGGGTTCTCGTTCCTTTTGCACAGATGTGGCAGTCGAGAGATACTTAATGATCTCATGTCTCGCCGGAAACAAAGCGAGGCAGCATTTCACAGGATTCCAAATAGACGCTGCGCTGCGAAGTCACCTTGGCGGCCTTTGCAGGTAGAGCGCTTCCTCAAATGGGGTGGTAACCGCACGCAGACCTTCAATGTTGGCAACTTGACATGCAAAAGTCTTCAGCTGCCACAGTTCACTATCCTTGCCCATTTTACTGTGGAATCAATCAGGAAAGTACAGAAGAGATGCTGTTGATCCTGAAAGGCAGGCAGTATCAATGTTTGGCCTTTTATTGACACTCGATCCTATAGTCTATAGTCATAGTGGTTGAATTGTTGAATGCACGAGGAGCAGGTGGCTGGGCTACACAAGCTTTGGCTTTTTGGGCAATGCTGCTATATGCTGCTAATGTATTCAGTACGACCACATTGCCAAAGACATATCTGCCAACTTGCGATGCCCTGGCACCTGGGATAGACTCTACAGCCGAGCCTTCGGCCAGGTCTGGAAAGAGTGATTTCTTCGACAACAGCAACAGTGATTCAGTGGCCCATGGCCTTAGAGGAAGACCGGAACACAGTGTACCTTCCACTCTGGGCTATTTGGGAAGAAAGGGAAACGCACAAACACATCAGTCTATTGAGAGAGACGGCCCAGCCGTCAAAAAGCATTGCTTTGTGATTGCCGATTTGAAAAGCACGGCTGTGTGAGTGGAAGCCGATGGCTGCTTGTTAGGCCCAAAGAATGCAGATGGCCATGGCCGCGCTGGCTCTTGGGCAGCGGTTCTGATTTTGTAGCAACGTGTTGACTACATAGACTTGGGTTCTCAATTACCCTCTACATAGACTTTATATAAGCCCTGAGTGTGCTTTGTTCTTCATGATCCTTGTACCTTGTTCAACGGCGATTCGACAATTTGCACTCAATAAATAATCATCAATCCGTGTCTATAGGCCAAGCGTAAAAAGTGTCTAAGGCAGATGCAATTAAATTCCTCGATGAGGGAGGCAAATTTGCAATTTTTGATGCGACGAACAGTGACCGCTGGGGTGCAGAGACTAATAGTGTGGCAGATGGAATTATTTGCACATGGGTGGTGATACAAAGATCTGCATAATGCAATGTCCAGCGGTTTGTTCCATGGTTCCACGATGCGATGTACAAGCTTAGCAGACACAGGTACAGTGGCCCGACGGCAGATGATCACAGAAAAGGCCTCGGGGTCGTAGCATGTCATACATCGCAATACATCGACGGAAATCACATGTCCCACGTTCTAGTGGACTTGAACAGTTCTTGAAGCAGAAGTGTGATTCTGGCAAATTCAGAGATTAATACAGGAACATGTGATTTCGAAAAATTAGGTCTGGCCTCAAGGATGGTTTGTCAGAGTATTTATATATCCTGTGATGATTCCTTTCTTTGTGGACTTGTTGCTTCTCTCCTTTTTGAGACGTTCTTTGTCCAGGTCACCGCTGGAGGGCAATATAGTATTCTTTGGGTGGAGGCAGTATGTGACGAGCGAGAGGTGTGGCTGCTGCCTCGCCTTATTTTGCCATGCTAGCCGCTTGATATACACACAACAGTGTATTATATATGTATATAATTAGTCATATATTTTGTCAAAGAAACCGATGTCAAGGAAGCCAGGTCAGGTATCCGCACCCTTTGAGTGTTTTGAATCCAGATTAAATTGTTGCATTGCTGCAGCAGAAGCCTGGTAAAGGATGATCAGGACAACCCAGTTTGATGAAGCTTTTTCAAAAAATGTGAGTGTTCTTGGACCATACGCAGCGTTGGCAAAGGAGATCGCATGTTGTGCAGTCTATTGGAAGACCTATGTGAAAGTGCCATCCTTCAGCCAGGTCGTACTGTTCAACATGTTGACAAAGGCTTGTCTTCCCGAAGCATTTCACCTGGGTGTGCACTAGTGTGCACATGAGCATACGTGCAGGTCGACAATGTACGTGCCATTCAGGGAGTGTGATTGTTTGTAAAAAAGATCTGTGGACGGTGAAAGTGCTGGGCGTGTTAGCTTCTTGTTCCTAGTAGGGAACATTCCTCCTAGTAGTACGGCCAGGAGCCCCTAGTAGCGCCCTTGCTCCTAGTAGCGATGCCCTTTGCTCCTAGTAGCTTCTTGTGTGTGTTTTTTTGCAACAACGCTGTTGTTTCAATTGTGCTTGTGCAGGTTCGCTACAGTCCAGACTTCCAGCACATGACCGAAGAGCAGGCAAGAAGACCGTCGGCTGTCCGTTTATATACCGACCTTCTGTGCATAAACTTCCAGCATCTGTTCCGCCCTTGGTGCTGCAGCAAAGTCATGAGGACATGGGCTGCTTGAAATCTTTGACTCTGACTCTTGATCGAGAATCAGACTCTAGTGACTCTAGTTGCGCTTGTAAATGCGCATTCTGACTCATCAAATCGAAACCATTGTACCTGCCTCAAGGCCATGCAAGACCTCAAGCAGCGCATTGCAAACTACGAAAAGATCTACGAAACAGTGCAGGCAGTTCGAAGTGGCTCACGAGTTGGACTGCGGCACTCCTTGTAGAAGCTACTGGGTACTTGGGTTAAGTCGTCTTGTCTCGCAAAAAGTCGTCCCTTTGCAGCATGCCCTTGCGGGATTGCATGTTTCTGCCACACTTTCTCTCTGCATGTTTCTAGATGTTCTAGTATAGGCATTGCATGCAATTTGGTGTGAGTCCATCCATCTCTCCAAACAGGTGTATAGGCAGAGAGAGAGAGAGAGTAGCGACACACAGCACATCGCAGCACAATCTGACGCCAAAGTAGCACTGGCGATATGCCTCATTCTCTACCTAGTAACACGAAGCTACTAGGGGCTCCCTTAGTGTAGAGAAAGCTGCCGTGGCAGGACTCCGAAGGAGCATTCATCAAGCTGTTTAATTTGTCCAGCAAGGCTCGGGCCTCACAGGGCCTCACAGTGCCTCACATCTCAGAGCTGCTGCCAAACGGCTGTTTATTGCATTGATGTTTCATGATGCTTCAATCTTTACATGTTGCATCATTTTGAGACCAATAAAGAGATCTGTAAAAGAAGAAGGCAAGGGACAGGGACATTCAAATCAAAGAGCGAGGGGGGGGTGGGAGACAACTCACAGCAAAAGGTCCTTGCCCCGTTGTCTAAGACTTCTCAAGCCTGAAATGGAGCACCAGATAGTTGCAACAGTATATAGAAAGAATATGATAGAAAAGCCCAAACAGATACAGAGCTAGAACCAGAAGAAGCCTTTTCGCTATGTTTCAGGGAAGAAACTAAAGAGCAGTATTTTCAGATTGTCAACAAGCGAATTCAGCAGCGACTCGACGTTATCCAAAAGTAGTGATTTCTAGATTTGTTTAGATTCTGTATCAACCAGCTCACTGACAAAAGAAAGCGAACCGCTGCTTATGCACATAGTCCTGCCATTTATTCTGTCCTGATGCGCCACTGCTTTATCACCGTGGCTGCTCTTGCAGCAGCAGGATCCGCACACAGCAAAACAGCTTCGGAGAAATTGTGGGGCCATCGACCGCAAAGTTTCTTTTCTCCCAAGAACTGACAGGACATATTCCATGTTGTGACACTTCCGAAGGAACACGACCATGTGCAAAGCCCTTAGAATTCATTGACTATTGGCATAACACCCGGCTCAGGCTTAGTGGTCTGTTGAAGTGAAATTGAGGTGAACCCAAGTCAGGTCACCACTGGATGTCATGTGGCACAATATAGTTCGCTTGTCGCAGTCAGACATTGAAACTTCAGTACAGATGCGGTAGGAACCTTCGCATCCTGCTTTGCACCATGGGGCATTTTTGCGAGCCACTTGGCTACATTGCCAACATTCTCAAAGCACCTTTTCTCAGCGTGAGTCCGACTCAAGTGGTGCAGATGTTTCTTTGTGGGTTGCAAATTTGCAGGTGTACGGTGTACAGGTTTATTCTTGTTCACCCAGTGTGCTTCTTCTCGAAGCGGTTTGACTCAACAGAACTATATACATCATTGCTTTCGAGCTTCAAATTCCTTCAATGATTTGCTTCAGCACAATTTCCAAGGTGAATCTGTGGTCCCAGCAGTGCTATCATCCTTTCAGAAAATGGAAGCGGCGGATGTTGTAGAGGTGTCTTGGCCAGAGTGCTGTTGGTGTGTGAAAATAGATCTTTGCAGCGTTCTGTGAGAGTCTTTGAGAGGTTTGAAATAAACCATTGTACATATTCTAGCGCTTGAAGTGTACCTGCTACTGAGACTGCTGTTGATCGGAAAGTGTAAAGCCATCGGATCGGCGAGTCATGGAGAGTTGCTGCAAGTGTTTTTTGCACTTCGAGCGCACTGCTTCAGACTGCGTCATTCATCACTTGTCATTTTAAACTTCGAGGTGCAGATGACCCAAGCCACAACCTTGGCCGCTTGGGTGGCAGCAGCAGTTGCTGTACGCGCCCTGCATCAAACGTTGCATCGGGCACCAAAACTGCTTCCACCCTCTGGGCCATCAGCCTTGGAGCTGCTGCAACTGCGAGATGCGTGGAAACAGGAAACATGGGTCAAGGAGCACGGAAAGATTTTTCAGATCCTTGGTGAGCAAACAAATGTTGAATACATGCGGCTGTGTTGGCTGTTAGATCTCGCTGAATACATTAACTATGTAACTATTTCATATTATATATAGAGGTAGATAGTTACATCTATTTGTAGATGCAATATGATAGAACAAGCATTGGCAGCAGCCACATTGTACAATATCCTGGTTTTCACTCTGGTTGGCTCTCGCGACTGCAGTCAATCATGACCTTGAGTGACTTCAAAGGCCGCTGTAGTCTGTCCCAGCCCAGCTGGTGGATGTCAGTGATTCCTTCCACTTGGTACCAAGTCTGTTTATATACAGTAAGCAATTTTAAGCCTTGGGTTTATAAAATGTATGAAACATGTTTGCTGCCAAGGACCTGGACTCCGTTTGGGAGCGTGGTTTGCACGTCTGACCCTGGTGCAACGCGGTACATTGCAGTGAAGAAGGGGAACAACTACCGGAAGCCATGTGTTTATGGAAGGCTGGCAAGCCAGGGCTTCGAGCATGTCAGTGTTCGGGGTCTGACCCGTGACATCCATGATGGTTGCTTTTTCGGTTTGAGCATGTTGGTGTGAAGTCTTGATTCTTGGTCTTAGTTCGCCGCTTAGAGCTTGTTGTTTGATGCAAAGCCATGATACTAATATGCCATTTCATCAGCTATACAGAAGCTAGAACCTCAATGATAAGTCGGAGCTCATTGCCCCCGCATACACGTACTGATACCGAGGTACAACTTGCCAATCCTGCAATACTTATACAAGGATCTTAAGGGGCCTTGTCGTGATGATGTCCTACTAACAGCAAAGATTTGTCAGTATTAGAGATGTGTTTTCTTGTTTACCAGATGGCGCGTTGTGTGATACTGTAACCAGTTGTCATTGTAGATTATACGGTACAGTATACGTCTTACATCAGCATACATTGGCATACATCTTCCATGCAGAAACCAGCCAGTCTTTCTGAATGACCCTGTTCAACAACCCGTCACCTCCACGTATGTGAGGGATTTGCGCCTATCTGAACGCATTGAAGATGCTTTGGGCCCTGGCAGCAGCTTTCCCAGCTTCGAGGTGGGGATCAGCTCTTTGATGTGGCAAAGAGCTGACAGTGGTTTCGCCATTACAGAATTATTTGCCGGGGGCGTAGGCCGGCCCCTGGAGGTAGTAGTAGCTATGGAGGTATAGAGTAGAAGCAAACGGTAGCTAGTAGCTTGAGTAGCTACTACCGACAGGACGCAGGACAGCTCACGCTTCCTTGAAGAAGCGCTTGCATTATTCATTTGGTTCCTAGATTTTTGGGAAACTTGTCGTGAATCGATTCTATTTGTCAAGAACACGATCACAGCTACCAGGCATGGCGGTGGAGAAAGCAATCTCTGCAAGGAGAGCTCAGCTTTCAACGCCTTCTGCAGTCACCCAAGCTCCTTACTGTCCTGGAGGAGCTTGGCATAGAAATGCCACTTGGCCAGGCAGTTGGCCATCACACAGTGGCTGGTGATGGCTGGTGGCCATGCTTGTTTATGTTGCTAATCCGAGTTATTCGAAGTTGTTCATCAAAGTTAAAGTGCAAAATCAGTTTTTATGTTCGAAGCATCCACCTTGGGGGTATCAAGAAGGCATGGGTGATTGGGTGGAGAGTTGGCAAGGAGCCACCACCCGGTGATGCTAGATGACAGAAGATGCGACAGACACAGTTGATATATGTTGATGTGATCGATTTTTATGTACATAGGCCATCAACACACTGACTGCCGCGCGAGCCATTTGTTTCACTAATGCAGGCACAGGAAAGCAAATTCAAGGCAGGTGGCTGGGTTTTGTTATGTTTTGTTGCTTGCGGCAACTCTGCAGCCTGCTTCGGAGCCTAGGTGTGAAACTCTTGATGCTGCTGTGGCTACTGGAAGCGTCGTACGAATGAACGATATCTTCTCCCGAGCAACAGCTGGAGCAGTATCCTGCTCGCAGAAGCATGACGCGGGTTCTAGTCTCATGTTTGTCAACCTAGCAGTCAGGGTAGTATCACGTGATTTGGCTGCCAATTGCGTCCGATGTGGATACAGAATTCCAAAATCATCTAAACGCCTTTGTACTGTGAGGGGTAAAATTGTCGAGATGGTGGTTCCAGAGCAGACATTCTGCATTATTTGCATTGTTGCAGGTTTTCCAACTTCTTTTCGGTCGACGGCTGGAGTTCAACTCTAGAAAGCTGGAAGAGAGCACGGAGGAGACGTCTTTTGAGACATGGGGTGCTTGCGTCGGATAAGGCAGTTTCCATTGAATTCCTATCAGTCCAGGCCAGGCTCAGTGCTTCATTTGTCAAATGGGCACGCCTTTCAAGTTTCAGGCGCATGTGTTCGAATGATTCAATTAAGTATCCACCGTGAATGGACCCTCTTTTAGAGGGCAGTATTTTTTGTTGGTTCTGGCCTTTCTTGCCATGCCTTGTGAAACCCTGGAAGAGCATTTGATAGAGGAACAGGGTGCTGTAACATGCACTCTGTTGTAATTATACTAGAGTCTAGATATCTGGTTTGGCATTTTATGGAATCAATGCTGTGAGAGCATGTGGATCTGGAAAAGCCTTTTATACAGAACTTAGGTGTTGACGTGCATGGCAGCGTCCGCACCTGGATCTGTTTTGCGCTGCATTTTATAGAAGCCACATGTGTGGAAGGGCTCCCCCGTGAATGATGGTTGGGGTCACTTGTTTGTAACATCGCAAGAGATCAATTCTTTCTTTTGCAATGACTGGTAGGAGTAGGAGGTAAAAGAAGAAGAGTTCTATACTAGCAATACAGAAGTCTCGTACAACAAGAATAGCACGAGATAAAACCATATGAAATGGTTGGCAATAGTTTTAAAATTAACTCTACGACATGACTGGAAAGAGACAAATCAGCTGAACAAATGTTGCCTCTGTAAAATGACATTATATACCAGATTTATTGGTTTGAATTTGAACACAATATATTTGCAAACATTTGTCGGATTAGTCACTTTATAGTTGAATATTTGCTTTATTAAATGCCATGACCAAGTTCTTTCATGATCTCTACATATTCATTTTGTGGCGCTTCTATATAACTACTATATAGACCAGATTGTTTATTTTTATAAGCATGTGTTTATTTTGCTTTCTATACGACATGTTGAACAATTTTTACTTGGTTTGCCATTTTAGTGAAAACATGTTCTCCCAACATTTGGTCTCAGTCATTTTTCCCATTGTATAGAGATTTGCACTCTTTGGCTTGGCGCCACTCATGTTTTAGAGGTGTTATCTCTTGAGGGCCATTTTATAGATATCGTTTCTGTATAGAATGATGCCTGGGAAGTGATCCGAACCATCATTCACG